CGCAAGCTTGAAGTTTCTGGATGAATCTGATTGTTGTCAGTACACAGTAATGAAAAAAGGAGTGTGGAAGGGGCTGGTTGTTCTTGGAAAGACCTTCTCTTATGACTCAGCTGGACAGGAGTGAGCCTCCTTACACTAAACAATGTAACAAAACAAAGTCATCACTGTGAAAGGAGGCCTTCAGTCTCAGCTGAGACTTTCAATAGCCCTGAGGACTAAAACACTCCTTCATTTCCAACTGAAGAGAGCTGTTACATTTAAAAGGAGGATGGGAGAAAGCAGCCGAGAGAAAGCATATCCATGGGAAGGAAGTGGTGGGGTCAATTAAAGAAAAAGAAGGGGAAAGCTTAAGATAAGAGAAGGATTTAAGACAGCAATTCTCCACTCACTTTACAGTGGCAGAGACCAAATCCACTTGGGACACGATTGAGCAACAAGCTGCATTGTTTTGTTAATAAAGGTGAAGGTGAGGGGATACGAGGGAGCAGGCTCACAGTTTGATTGTTGTAAGTAAACAGATATAATGCAATCAGGAACTGAGTGTCAGACAGGACAGGGGATGTATGTGGTATCCAGAAAGCAGAACAGGAGATCATCAGATAAGAAATGAGATCAGGAAAAAGAGGCTTCCAGGCTCCTCTGCATGGCTCCCCACTTCTAACCGATTTGAACACTCTTCCTGTCTTTTGTCTGCTCCATAGACATGTTGCCGACTGTAAATGGGATATTTCCTGTTTTTTTAAATGTGGTTCCTACATATATTATATGAAGCCTTTTCATCATTTAATCATGTGTCATTATTTTTAAGTTTATTGACTTGGCAAGATTGTTTTTTTAAGGCAGTGCATGAAGATGAGTAAGAGTAAGTCAAAAGTGAATTACAGTTATAGCACTGGGAAATAATAACTATGGTCTGTAAATCAGTAATCCCAACACATTGGTCCAGATTAGACGGACTGACCTTTAAAATTGTGCAGACAATCATGATACACGGAGGAAAGATCTTAATGACCTACTTTTCAAGTAGCGCAAGCAAGTGATAAATGTCACATAAACTGAAACTCCTGAATCTATCTACTTGATGCAGTCATAACATTTGACAACAACATTTCCTCTGGCTTTAGTGGTCCACTGCAGCGCTGTAGGCTCCTCTTGTATTTTCTTCATTATTTAGAAAACATTATCTTCATTTATTTACCAAAAAACATAAAGCACATTTGAACCTTTTGAACACAGATATGAGTTCCCATGTAGTCTTCATTTTTTATATATATTCCAACCTCTTGGATACTTTCCATGACATCAGATACACTACACTTACAGTATCCCTCCCATGAGCACATGTGCATTCCAGAAGTGACCTGTGCTCGGCTTAATGATCGAGGGAAGAATTCAGTCCTTGGCAGGGGAATCCAACTTACCCAATGTTTTGGTATGTAGTCCTAACTCTCAGATGGGAATTTGTGCAGTGTGCGTGCGGTCTGCCTAGAAATCAAGGAAAGCATGTTGAGACTAACTTCAAACTAAATCCAAAGACAAATGACTTCCTTTGGGTTACCACATATTGGATCTGGAACATTTTACAGTAGTATTTTCTCTGTAATTCCTCTGAGGTCTGACAAAGTAGGCTGGTGGGTTATCATCAGAGGATGAGTAAGAGATCCTCCTTGGAAACATTACACTAATAATGCCGTTTTCTCAGCTGGTTATGTAAAATATGATGTGGTTTGTAAAGGACTGAACCATTTTCCTCGGCATAGATATCCATTACAGAAATCCTGTCTGCAGACTCCGTCAGGCCACCCTTACATTGGCACCGTTGGGTGCACAAGATAAAGGCAATGGTTTCAAAGTGAAAGCAGAGACACATGGAATGTGTGGACACAGAAGGACCTCTGTTAGACTCGTGCATTTTCCATGACAACATTACAGTAAGATTGGTTTCAGTTGGTGAATGGACAACACTTAAATTGTTGTTCTGTGAATGTCTCCCATTGTTCCCTCTGATTTCTTCCAGTTGTAAATTAAAAAATTCACTCCAGTTTAACAATACAGATGCCAAGTGGCTGAGAAAAAAAGCATCTGGACTCCAAAGCTGACGTATGGCTCTTTACTCGGAGGTCAAGGTCACACTATCAGTGTCCCAACAAGTCATTAGTCTCTGGATGGTTCTGGATGTGTACTCGTTCTATCACATGAGGTGTTTTTTTCTGGTCATGGTCACTGTCGAACTCTTACAGCTTTTTCCTCTTTGTCACAGGAAAAGTTCTGTAGTGGTAAAAAAAATCACTTATCCCCCCCCCTCAGCTAATGATACTATACCCTCCATGTAGATAAATAACCGGATCTAGAGAATCAGTGACTTGGGGATTTTTCTAGGGAATTTTACAAATGTGTTGACCTTGTCTTTCTTGCTAATCTTTTATTACACCACTTCCAGTTCCCTTGTTTTATCAGGGATTAGTGTTATGCAACTTTCCTTGCATAACAACTAATAACAGGGAACTGTTTTCAGTTCCTCTGATATTGTTGCAGGGAAATACAGACACCTTGTCAAGAGATTAAAGCTAAACATATTGGCAGGCGACCAATAACAATTTAATGAACTGTAATAGTAACCCTCTGAGACTGATATGACTGTGTGCACAGACCTCCTGTAGTCAGAGTGGAGAGTGGAGAGTGAAGAGTAGTGCATGGCTTGTCTGTTTTGCTTTGAGTTTTTGTGAATAGGGAGTGTTTCAGCGACATGACCGGAATCTCAATGCTTGTTGTTTTAACTGAAGACCCCCTGTTTGCCTATCTTCTTATCATCTCCTTCTGCTCCCATCTGATGGACTGCTGATATAACCTTTCACCCTGACTGGATTAAAGATGATGCGTTGTGTTGCGGCTGTTTATTCTCAGCATTCTCTCACTTTCCACTTTTAAACTACAACCATAATGCTCTGCTTCTATTAATCATTTTTATCTGGGTCAAAGGAACTCAGGGAGGATGTGATTCCACTACACGCTCTGTGCCCTCCTGAAAAAAAAAAAAAAAGCTTACAGATTTGTTTTATATATTGCTGGTCAGAGATACCTCTCAAATGAAATCCTATTAGCGTCATTTCAGCTATTTCAAATGAGCCATGAGGGGGATTTTCTTTTCCTATTACAAGGAATTCACTTCCAGTATATCCTGGAATATCCTGTACTTACAAAACCTGAAACAACTAAAAACAGGATGTGACTAAATGCTGTGTAATGTGGAAATTCCACAATTGTCATAAACGTCTGCCTATAGTAGAAGATGCTATAACTGAAAGAAAAAGTGTTTCTCAGACACGTTTTATTAATTATTAATGCCTAATTAAAGTCATCTTTATTTCATAAATTTGATTTGTTTTAGGTTTGCCTTGTGTCTGTCTGTTTTTCTATGGAATATATTGTTGTCTGTTTTCTTTTTCTATGAATATCTTAAGACCATGATGAAATAAGTTAGCATGTTGTCCTCCATATTTTGTAGTATTTTGTGCATCTCTCTGGGTCTGATAATCCCTATAATCAATCAATGTATCAATCAATTCTGTGATCATAACAGAGCGTACTTGTCTAAGCCATAACTCATTCCTGAAACCTGAAAGTGAACAGAAGTGATAAGAATGTTTTGGGATTTTATTTGTGTTAAAACATTCGGTCTAAAAATATGCAAACATAGTGCTGGAAGAGCTGCAAACGCTCAGTCTGTCTAGAAATGTGGGTGTTAATCTATGCACTGGTGACCTTAATAAGTGTGGGCATAATGAAGCCTTGCAGAATGCATTTGAAACATTTTCAACAGCTTAGCCTGATGGAGTAAAGAAGAATGATAGCATGTCTTTTGTTTTTGTTTTATGTCTTGAAATGAAGCAGTGCTTTATGTTTATATTTCAAACACAAGAAGATTCGTAAATTCTAGCTTGAAGTTTTTAAGTAAAAGTACATAAAGTGGAGCGCAGATAACACCTGTACATAGCATTTAGGAGCAATACATACAAACCCATTCATATTCAAACAGATTCATTTTGGTGACTTGATGGTGAGAGATAAAACACACTGGGCAGGACGTTTAGTGTTCTGACTTTTCTGTCTCTCTTTAGTCTTGTTTCGGTCTTGCACCTGTAACATTTTATTACGGTTAAGTGTTCTCCTTTTTTGCTGTTTTTGGACTTGATGGTGACACTGCTGACTATAGTCTTAAATGTTAAAGTGCATTGAACTTGTGAACTCTTAACCACAATGTGTATTTCCTTTTTTGGAAAAATAATTAGTCTGCAAAGATTTCTTGAGTACCATGATTTCTTTCTTCTCTTTTTTCATGTTCTGGTGTTATTCTAAATCTGTCTATGCTATGAGATATGTTTGACATCTATATGTGCAGTATGATTCTATTATTGGGGCAGTAGGTGGTCTCAAACAGGGGGTGATAGGAATTAGTGTATATGTGTAGTTACATTACAGTAAAGCAAATGGGCCCACATCACAATCAGTTAAAATCCATAAAAAAAAACCTCAACATGCAAATCCATATACAACTTTTATACTTCAAAAAAAGACTGTTTTTGCATCTAAATGGTTCAGTGTTATCTTCATGTGGTCCAAAAACCTAAACCATTCAATCGTCAAAAATAAAAAATGAGTTGAATGAATATCAGAAATATTTCACAGAGAGAGGGAGAGAAATAGAGGGAGAGGGAAAGTTAAAGGGAGAGGGAGAGTTAGAAAGAGAGAGTGAGAGTTAGATCAAGAGAGAGACAGAGAGAGAGAGAGGAAGAGGGAGAGGGAGAGTTAGAAAGAGAGAGTGAGTGTTAGATCAAGAGAGAGAGAGAGGAAGAGGGAGAGGGAGAGTTAGAAAGAGAGAGTGAGTGTTAGATCAAGAGAGAGAGAGAGAGAGAGAGAAAGAGGGAGAGGGAGAGTTAAAAAGAGAGAGTTACATCAAGAGAGAGAGAGAGAGAGAGCAAGAGAGAAAGAGAGAGAGGGAGAGGGAGAGGGAGAGGGAGAGATAGAGAGCATGTGTACCAGTTGGCTGTTGGCTGCACCTCATTGGCTTCCTACGGATCAGAACAGAGCGACAGAGAAGCCGAGCAGAGCTGGAATAAGAGACAGAAGAGACATTGTTCTGATCAGATGAGTAAACAAATCAAATGAGTGAAAGTACAACCATTATTCAACTCTTTGTGGGGTTACTCCTCAGTGTGGCAGGTAGGTGCTATTCACTTTCTTAATTTCATCTCCATTATGATCTATCTTTTTTTAATGTACACTTTTCCTTGACATTTTCAGGTTTGTTATTTCATTTAATCAACTCTTTATCAACTCTGTGTTCAATACCCAGAAGTTTGCAAAGGCTGTATGAGCTCCTGCTTTTTCTCGGTCAGACATATGGTGCTCATCAACAACAATGAAATAGCAGCAGGTAAAACAGTTTGATGGTATATTAAGGTGCAGAACTTTGTTTAAACCAGAAGAGAGCAGTACAACAAGGGCAGAAAAGAGACAGGCAGCTGATTTATGCCACAAGAAGCCACTTGTTGATGAAGAAGAATCACTCAATAAACCTAAATGGGACATTGAGAACTATTGAGAGAAAAGGTTCCTCCCATATTTCCCACCAGGGGGCTTTTGAAAAAGATTTAGAGAAGAACAGTAAGTGAACACACATGCACAATATTTATAACTTTTATTGTAAACCTGCCATACTTAAACATGGGATGCTTTGCTTTGTAAATAGCTCATCTTTAACCGAGATTTATTAATGTCTATATTTCTGGAATAAATTCATCTGTAGGCCATATTAATTGAAAAAAACAACTGGATTTTTATGTCAGAAAGAAAAACTGAAACACATGAAAACACACCTGTGGCTGATTTTCACTTCGACTTATTTTGTTCACGTGAAGTCTTTTAAAGAAGTGAAAGACTTTTAGTGGGAAAGAACCCATTGCAGGACATGGAGGGAAAGGTGACCGTTAATCTATCGGTTTCCCTTTAAATGACTACATGTCCTTTTTCACTTTTCACTGATATGCCTCTTCTTTCTGAATAGGGGATATTGTTTGTTATGAAATGTTGGTCAAATGCCTTCTACTAATCAACACATGCGCAAAAACCAGGAAAGTCAGGGATGGTTTAGTCACGGAAAATCAGAAGTTTTCATCCTTTTAATTTATTCCAGCTTTCAGAATCAGAATCAGAAATACTTTATTGATCCACAAGGGGGTCCTTACAGTTGCTCTTACACACGATATAGAAGTAGAAATAGAATGTAAGAATAGGAATAGAAATAGGAATAAAATAAGAAGTGTAAATAAGAGATACATCTGTAATTACACCAAGAGTGTGGAAGAAGTAAAGCTGTGAACCAAGTGCATGTTATTAAAGAATAAGCTATGTATGAAGCGCACATTATCAAAGAAATTAAAGAATTAGCTTGAGCTATTAGCTTTCAGTCTTTGGTATAGATTGGGTGGAGCAGTGTATACCTTACTTTTAATCACCAAAATAAAAAGTTGTGGTAAAAGTTTATAATGTAGTTACCCCATTTAACTGCATCCATCTTTTGTGTAAAGGTGGACATGCCTCCTGCCCCATTGAGTTGAGCCCACCCAGTGTTGTTGTGAGGTATGGAGACCCAGTCTCAATCAACTGCAGCACATCAGAGACCCTGTTTGAAGGAATTGGCTGGGAGGCTACAGAAGGAGCAAAACCCCTCCAGAATGTCAGCCATCTCACCTGGACTGTGGACAAGCTGACCGACTGGTCCTTCTCTACCTCCTGTTACTTCAACTACCATGAAAATAGTTCATCGACCCAGTGTCTCATTACCCCAGACGTTGTCCTTTACAGTAAGTTTAGCTTTTTGTTTTGATACAGTTTGATATCTGGACTGGGTCTAATAAAAATATTTTTTTCCCCCAGCATTCCCAGAAGCCATCACAATGAGCTCCAACAGTGATGAGGGTGTGATGAAAGAAATGGAGGAATATAACTTCACATGCCACATCCCTAATATAGCACCTGTTCAAAGACTCAGTGTAAAGTGGTACAAAGGAGATGACTTCCTTCACACAGAGACTTTCAATAATAACAATAAAAAGCCAGTCAATCAGACATCCATCCTCCGCTTTAAAGCAACAAGACAAGACAGTGGAGTCACTTTCAGATGCGAGGCCCATATGGACCTGGGCCAAGGAGAGCTACAACTTATTGTGTCTTCCCAAGACTATAATATCACAGTTCATTGTAAGTATACGCCAATCATGTAAATATACCTGTTGAAAATGAACTGGAAGACATATTTAAGTTATTTTAAATGGTTAATTTTAAGATTTTCTACACTTAAAATGAATGATCCTCTGATTCAGAGATTAGACAGAGAAAACTGATTTGCAGGTATTTTAATTACCAATAAATAATATAAGTCAGCAGGGAGAAATGCGGATTAAGGAGATTTCTGTAGCTCTTAAATTGCGTAAATGTGCTCATTTTTTCCTCCCAAGCTATATTAACCCAAATAAACAAAACAGGACCGTTTAGGATGAAAGGTTGAGTTCTAGAACAGATTAGTGATGTTTCTCACTGTTATGTTTGCGTTTTAGACAGAGATTAATACATTTCAGATGAATGAATTAGCCACAGTCCAATAATTCACTATACTCTAATAAATTCTAGTTTTTCCAGCTCCAGCTCTACGGTTAATTATCTTGGCTGTAAAACTTTCATGTGCCAAAGAGAAAAACGCTGACATTTACTGTGTCTGTAAATTGTACATAAGTAGCCTAGACAACACAACTTGGATAAAAATACTATGATTCTGTACATGTGATGTAGAGTTTTGCCAGTGTACATTAAACGTTTAAAAAGTGTTTTCTTGTTTTATTTTTGCTTTCAGATGGACCAGAGTTGCTCTGTCCAAGCACTTACACTGCTCTGGAGCATGCGCCCCACAGTCTCACCTGTACTGTTAAGGGCTTTCCTGAACCTGAGGTCATCTGGTACAAAGAAGGCGAGGAGGTGGAACTTTCAGAGAACCTAACAAAAACAGATGCAGGGCAGTACATTATCACAGCCTCAAACAAACTTTCAAGTGTCAACCTCTCAGTGGATATCACTGTCCTGTGTGAGTTATTTTGACAACAATCTTAAATACCCAGTTAAGTATGATTAAATATGTACTGAATTTGACTTACATTGTCCTCTAGATCCACCGTCACAGATTGTTGAGCTTGAAGACTCTGAAGTCAGCGTTGGTTCCACTGTGTGGTTGAAGTGCTCCTCAACGGGCAACCCACGACCAAAATATTCTTGGGATTATTACCGTACTGACAATGTGGAGGTGGACAGTGAGGATGGAGTGTCCCGTCTGATCATCCATAATGCTACTGCATTTAACATGGGCCTCTTCACTTGTCATACCTGGAATGACATGGGAAATGTCTCAAAAACAGCCAGGGTCACAGTAAAAGGTAATCAATCTATCTCTAAGATAAAGAATATCATACCAGGAAAGCATTAGCCTGCTGGCAACATCATTGTGATAATGTAAGCATCATAGACTGTGTGCCAAGGACAAAAAGGCCATAAGTACAGCTTTTTTGGAAGTTGCTATTGTGTCATTTGGAGTTAGAAAAGACCATGTCACATATGACCACAACCTACTGATTCAAAAAAAATTATCCATACCTGCCAACGCTCACAAAGGTTTCTAACTTTCAGGTAAATTCAGGAGTATGCAGCTAACAGCTGTTTATTTATTTTCTTTTACCTTTATTTTACCAGGTAGTCTCATTGATATTTTGTAATCTTTTTTTCAAGAGAGACCTGGGTACATCAGTGGCAAATAAAATAATTTAAAAAAACATCAAAGTAACAGACACCAAAAACGCGCATGGCCAATACACACAAAAACATCATACAAACACATTAAAAGTCAAGTCAGGTGTCCAATGCAGGACTATTTACATCGACAATTCCCAATTGATTTAAATTCGTGCTCTTTCAGCATCCCTTTAAATTCCACTAGAGCAGGGGTGCCCAACCTTTTTTGAACCAAGATCTACTTTTAAAGTTACCAGTCTGCCGAGATCTACCAGTCCACATAGTGAGCCATAGCCTTTACCAACAGCCTACAAACGCATTTAATACTCACACAACAAACAGAAAATAATAAATGAGAGTTCTGTAAAAAATAATGTAATATCGACATACTTTTTTTTAAACTCTTATTTTAGGGTAGGCTACAATTTAATATCAAGTTTGTATTTATATCACATATGTTTTTCCCTTAATTTTGTTTACAACAAACAACTTTAATCTGTGTGGAGATGTTCACAGACTACAGCAGGCTGCTGTGAGATGATTTTGCTTTTGTTAAATTAGCTGCAGACACGGTGAGAGTGAACGGAGTAAAGTCCAACCGACTGTTTGACCGGGTCACGTGTGTTCCCACCTCGGTCCGTACGGATCACGGATCAACTGTGTGCTGTAGCACTAAAAGTAAAAAGTAAAAAGGTTCGCGTGGTGGCTGGCGCTCCAGTGCAAGTGTGTGCGTGTGCGTGTGCGTTTGCGCTGTTTGTTGGTGTGTCTCAGCGTGCCCCGCGATGCTCACAGTCATGACAGCAGAGAGGAGCAGAGAAAAGTAGCTGCAGCTTCATCAAATGCGCTTAATACTCGTAGCATAGTTTCTATATATGACTTTTTGGTAAAACATTTAGCCCCCCGGTTTTACCTGCACGTCATTGCGCATGCCTGCACTCTCTCTTGCGCGTGCGCTCTCTCTCTCTCGCTCCCCCGCTCGCTCTCTCTCTCGCTCTCTCATGCACGCAGCAATTTCATGAATAAATGAAAAATTAAATACAAACAGGTCGGAAGTATACTTGGGCTCCCCACACAGGTATCGTGTGTGGGAAACAGTGCAATGAGATGAAATTGAAATCACTTTTCTATTTTACAATTGTATTTTATATTGACAAAACATCTCGCGATCGACTGAGAATCAGTCAGCGATCTACCTGTCGATCGCGATCGACTGTTTGGGCACCCCTGCACTAGAGTAACCAGATCACTCAGACGCAAATCATCATAATTATGATGATGACATGGATAAAAAAATGATATAGATTAAAAACATTAGCTTTGGGTTAGTTTTTTAGTTATTATCCCGACAATAGAATTTACAGCCTCACACAGCTGCTATAGCCATCCTCTGCCAATAGTTTACATCACAAATCTTTTTTTACCTGCCCATACAGTCGATTTTCAAGTTTTGAAAAGTTGGGTCTTTTTAAAAGTTGTGGTTACATTGTTTGTGCCACTTTGACCAAAAGATTAGCCTATTTGGTTAATTTGTAAAAACACATCCGTGGGCTCTGACACTTAGGCCTAATTCTAAAGTGAACATTTGGATTATTATTATTATTATGTCATTTTCTACCAACCTGTTTGTCAATAGCAGGCTTAAACTTCATTTTTCTTAATGCAACAAAAAGCCTCTGGTGTCCAGGCTCACTTGTCTCTAGCATGCGCGGCAAGTTAGAGACATTTATAGACACAGTGGTGCGTGTGTGTGCGTGTGCGTGTGTGTGTGTGTGTGTGTGTGTGTGTGTGTGTGTGTGTGTGTGTGTGTGTGTGTGTGTGTGTGTGTGTGTTTGTTTGTGTGTGTGCGTGTGTGTGTGTGTCTAGTTCCCATGTCAAGTAAGTTTTCCGGGGGGAGGGGGAGGGGGAGGGGGGCTTTTCCTGAGTTTCCCCTTCGTAGATGTAGAGCTGGGAGCCGCGCTTGCAGCCATAGCTTAGCTTAGCCTTCTCCATAAAACGTCAACATTTCGCCGCTGGCTCGCCCCATGCAGCGAAGGAGAAGCAAAGAAGAAAAAATCACTCGAAGGCGCTCAGTGTAATAGAAAAGGGCCGGCAGCTGTTGGAAAATCATCGGAGACTCTTTTCAAATGGATGAAATAAACTCTCTTCGTCTTCTAACAGTCTTCATAACTTTAGAGCTGCTGTCGGTTTCTAACGGGACGGGACCGAGTAAGTTGTGACACTCGGCGAGTGATCTTAATGTTATTTCTCCTGTTAAAAGATAGAAATATCTCCATTAGACGTATAGGGAACAAAAAGTCTATTTGTGTAGATTCCTGAATGATGGCGACGAGTTAACTTAAGGCAACGGGAATATCAATGTTAAAAATGGCTGAGAGGACAACATTGTTCATGACATCACAGGCCTATTACTTATTATTTGAATGTGAAAGAATAGTGTTGTTGTGAGTTAGTGAATACAATTGAAACAATTGGTTACTTTGGTAATTTAATGTGTGTCTAAATACTGATAATAATGCTTTTGTATGCAGTGAACATCATGATAAAGCCAAGTCCTTCTGAATTACTTGACTTAAAGCACTATTCTGTGATAAACTTGTATAATGGGACTCACATTATTGAGATATTAGCCTATAACAGAGTTAAGTCAAGCACAAAGAATCACTATTCTTTGTGCTTGGCAGCAAGTGTTGACTTTTTTAAGGGAGGGGTGTATCCTTCCTGAGCCTTTTCCTCTTGCCTCCCTCGCTTTTGTTCAACAGTATTTTACCACAGCACTGGAGGTGGAAATGTTGTGTTAAGATAGTGGAATATGTGTAGACTTTGACTGGAATAACATTCCCACTCCCACTCTATGTTCAACAGGTGCAGAGCAAGAATGCCCTATTGAAATAACTCCAGACAGGATGGTGATAGAATACCAAGGAAGAAATCAGAATGCAACATGCAAGGCAATATCCAACATGCAAGGCAATGTTAAAGAAATATACTGGCAGGGCAACAAGTCCTCCAGTTGGTCTGCTGACACCCATAAAGACTGGGATCCAAAGCCTGTTTGTAACGCCAACTTTGAGGGCATAGGATGGTGCAAGAAACGTTTAAACTTCACTCTTTACAGTATGTATCTTTACCTTCTTCAGAACTTGCTCTGTCACCTTCTCTGAACATGTTTCTCAAGTTTTTGAACTCTCCTGATTTCAAATCATGTCTTCAGAAATCCCAGACAGTGTCTCCATCCTCATTGTGGGTAACTTAAGCTCTGTGGTGGAGGCGAGAGAGTTCCAGCTGCAGTGTGATATTACCAACGTTGCTCCAGCAGGAAACCTGGCAGTGCGATGGTACATAGGGAATGAAACCATTGAACCACTGAAAGGTAGGAGGCATTTCTTTACATAAGTCCCAACTATCTCTCCATTTTTTAAAATCTGGGCTGCAGTACTAAAAAAGAAAATACAAGCTATGGTATAAAAAAAACCAACCCTTGTTTCTAATCAGCTGAGCTCTTATTTGCATCAGACTTTGTCTCCTTTCAAAGTACTCTAAAAATCAACATATTGTTTTTTGTTTTGTGGCAAAACTTTTGACAAAGTAAGGTCTGTCCTCATGTTCCTCAGGCTCAGTGCGGGTGACGGGCTGCCTACTCGAGAACAACAAAAACTGTGATGGCATTCTATCGCCTCTGAATGTGTTGTCGACTATCAGCATTACTCTGAACAGAACGCACAACGGAGCTGAGCTCAGATGTGAAGCGCAGTTGGACCTTGGATTTGAGGAACCTCAGCCTCCTCCAAACATGAAGTCCAGCCCCCTCAACATCTCTGTCCACTGTGAGATCACATTTACATTTTCTATAACTACAACTGAGAGTTTATGGCTCTTGCTCATGATTTTGATATTTTGTTATTACCTTAAGTGACAGTAGAAACGTTCTTTGAATTTGGGTCACCATGCCATAATGACACACATTCTTTGACCTCACACTGCTCTTGTTTTCCATTTTTTTTTGCAACAGATAAGCCAATCATTAATACCACAAAACTTGCAAAGACAGTCCCAGTGTTCAGAGGTTATCCTGAGGAGCTTGTTTGTGAAGCTGATGGTAACCCACCTCCAAAGATTGTGTGGCTCTCCAGCTCGGACAACGTGCCCCATGTGTCTGGAAACATGTTGACCGTGTCTGAAGCGGGCCTCTACAACTGCACGGCCGCCAATGACGTAGACTCCATCTCCTTTGAGGTTGAAGTGATTTTAAAAGGTAACAACAAGTTTCATTCAATGTTATTGGGAACATTTGCCTGAAAAAAAAATAGATCCCTTTTCTAAATATATAGTGTTCCCGAGCAGGGAAAACAGATATTCTGCTGCCATTAAATATGTACCACAGCTGAATCATTTTAGTTTCTGTTTCTTTGCATTGATGCTTGAAGCATTATGCTAATTTTCTTTTTTTTAAAGATTTATTTGTGGGCTTTTTGTGCTTTTAATGGCATGGATTAGAAATCAGAGAGACAGAGAGGAGAATGACATGCGGGAAAGGAGCCACAGGTGGGATTTGAACCTGGGCCGCTCACCTGGAAGAGCAAGGCCTCCATACATGGGGCACTAACCACTGCGCCCCCGCTAATTATCCTTTTGAAATGTAACACCCCCAACGATGTCATTATATGACTCATCAGTGGCACCCTGAAAATTACTTTACTGTAACTTCAATGTGAGCAAACAATAAAGTTACAGTGAGGTCATTTTCAGTGTGCCACGGATTATTGAGTTATTTTTAATAGCGCACTTGAGAACGTATCGGCTGTGCACTGAGGACCCTGTTGGTCATTTTGTCATTATAAGACTGTTATCCCTAATCTTTACTTTTAAACAGTTAAAATGTTAGAGTTGTGCTGGTTGGGTCAATATAATAGAGGAAAACAAATCTATATACTGATGAGACAAACAGCTTCAATAAGGTTCTGTCCAGCCACATGATTTATTTCAAAAATGCCGACAGGACTTTTAAATCTTGTTTGGTTCCATAGACAGATATAAAAAAAAATCAGAAGGTCAGTGAAATATTTGAGGTTTTGTTAAATCTTCTTGAAAATATGTAGCTTGTTCTTACACGGTGTAGTGCTCTATCAGAAGGGTTTCTACATTTCTACAATAATCATGCTAATAAACAAAGCCTGTCTTCCTGTCTGAGGGGTGAGTAAAATCTTACGTAGATTATGATGATTGTCAATATTATCCAAGAAAAGTATCCATGTACTAAAATGCAGCTTCAGTTGAAAATGAATGCAGATTAATTTAAACATTCACATAGATCAAGTGAACATGAAGTGAAGCCTAATGAGACGGAGATTTCTAGAACTTAAAGCCGTTTTGATGATGTTCCTAACACTATCATGCTTCCTGTTTCATTACAGAGGACTACCTTCCCCTCATAGCTGGATTTGTGGCTGTCACTGTAGTTGCCATCTCCATCATATTCGTCTTCATCTACTCAATCTACTACAAGAACACCAAGATGCGACGCTACAGTCTTAAAAACCCCAAACTTAACACCCACAATGGAAACGTAGCTCACAACGGCTGGGACATGCAGTTTCCTATGACTAAACTGCCCTAGCAGCACATCTGTGCTTGCACAGAATGGAAAGTTGACCACTCTGAATGAGCTGCATCTCTATGCCAACAGCAACTTCAGTGTTTAAAAAAAGCCACTCTGACAGCGGGCTCTCACTGGCCTTTTGGAAATGTATTCCTCCAAACGTCACACTCTGTTTTGCCACATGTTGTATGTTTTCTTTTCATTTCCATGGAATAACCTAATCACAAAAAATGAGCAACATTGGCCTGAGATGTACACTTTTATATTTACTACTGGATTTCACCTGTTTTCACTGGATGGACAGAAGAGGAGGAGCAAAGACTAAAAACCAGGCCCTGAATTGTCAGGAAAAACTGGCAACTGTTTTGACGTTGTTTGTGAGCACAAGGGGAATTTGTTGTTGTTTTGATGTCTTCTTTTAATGTACTTAAAGTCAGATATATGTATGCTATATTGTATGTTATTATTTTACAAACCAAACCATGCAAGTGTTAACTTAAGACTGCTGTGGTTTTAACAGTTACACTAACAGGAAGTGCACTATGTTTATAAAGGTGTGATATTGAATCTGTGAAAATTAGACCAGTTCGGCCAAATTGTGTAGACACCTCTGCTTGTACATTCTTTCACTGAGTCCATTTTGCCATCAGTATTCTTTGAAAGTCACTCTGCACTTGTTTCTGAGTTGGTTGCGTTCTCTGTGCCTGACCCTTCGCAGTGCCATGCTGTGCCAGGATCTGGCCTAATGGGAGACACTGTCTTGTACCAAAAATGTGTGCTTTTATATGACTGACTGCAGGCATCGTGCCGTATATTCAGGATAATATGTTATGTAAATGAAATATGTATTTATTTGTAAAAAACAACAACAACAAAAAACATTAACGATTGAGCTATTTAGTATGGAAAAGGGACTGCAGTGCATTTTGATGTTACAAATGATTGGAAGTCTCAGTGGAAATGACGTCCTACCCGCAAAATAGGCACATGAGGAAGTGTAACACATTTGTGAATACAGCTGTAAATATTTGTGACCAGTGTAAAACTGTATTTTAATAATAAAAATATGGCTTTTCAAACTGATCGCTCTGACACCTCAACTTTCATTTATGTCTTTGTGGATGGAGGAAAAAATGCTCTATAAAAGTAAATAGTTCTGCAGTCTTATACAACACAAAGTTTAGAGTTAACTTAAAGGAGAAATCTCCATTTTACTGAGTTCCAGCACTCGTTTAATCTTTCTGAAACTAACAAGTGAAATCCTAAAACTTGCGGCACAGCATCCTCTAACATCCTGTAGAGGGTGCTGTACATGGCCCCCTATATCGGAGATCCATATGAGATGTATGCGGCATTCTAGTGCAGTCGGAAATATTATAGACTGGGTCTTTTCCATGGTAGATATGGGGTTTTCCGATACTTAAATTGCAATTTGAACAATTTAAGGGTTGAAAGTGCGGGATATAGGCCTATGTTCATGCAATTTTCTTGTTCGACGTCCAGCTTCTCACACGGTAGACGACGTAGGCCTACTCGCGCGCGAGTGTACGAGTTTCACGTAAATGCATCACATGGGTAGGTTTAGCTTTCGGGACTTTGTATTTCATTAGGTGAATGAAAAGAAGGAAAGGGCTGACACGTACGACGGACACATTTTTGTCAATACGTTTTTCGTCTGGACCATTTTTCATTTGACTTTGAAAGGCTTTCGTCTTGGCACATATTGCAGAATGTTGTTCTTCGTTCTTATCGCCTTGAGTGCGTGCTCAGGTAACGTACATTCTCAAGGGATCTTTTTCGAGGTAACTTAAGCGTAGGCCTATAAATTCACGTTACAAGTTAGTTTTTTTATATTGCGTCTCGATACAGTCAGAGTGACAACTACTCGGAGTGGCCTACGCCCATTGCTTTATTATCGCTTGTCTGTTCTGACACATTGATCATATTTGTTTGTTTGTAAATCGGTGTTTTTCATATTTTCACCCGGCATGTTTATGTATCACATCTCAGGATGCCTTTTAACTAACAGTCTATGTGAACTTTATCATATATTTTTATTTATTAAAGAGAAAATCAGGACACAAGTTGAGGATTTGTTGTAGGCTAAATAAGAAAATACTTTCATTTTCCACCTCTATGGCATTGGAATGCTTTATGTCCCTTAGTTTTTATTAGAGTGAGAGATATATTTCCCACATATTGTTGCAAATGCAGTTTAGTAGTTAAAACATGAAAACAGTGTTACCTGTGTTTGTTATCTGTAAGACTGTTGGAATGGCAAGTCAGGACTGCTTTGTATTTTGCTGGTAGTAGTCTGTAACACTGACTGTGCTCTTCTAGGACAGCCTGTGACTTCCTCCTGTCCGGTTGAGATGAGTCCTACCACAGCTGTGGTGAGATTTGGAGACCCCTTCTCTGCCAACTGTAGCTCATTGTCTAACCAGACAGAGGGGATGGGCTGGGAGTCTACATTAGGAGGCACACCACTTACACACGGATTCACATTCCTTCCCTTAAAAATAGACTCTGTCACAGACTGGACCGTAAATGCACAATGCTTCTTAAATACGCTTGATGAAAATCAGTGTTTTAAAATCCTGCCGATCACAGTGTATAGTAAGTACCCATTTTACTGCATGAAAAGTTGCTGAGGTTGCTCCTTGTATCTATTAACAAAAAGGCCGGCCCACTTTCTCATTGCCACAAAAATAAAAGGTTATTAAATCACAAAGCTTTAACTGGTTTTTGTCAGGGGATAGATTTTGAACTATCCTGACAAAGACCAGTCCGTTGAATCATTGTGATTAAATGAATTGTTTCGTGGCATTGAGTTAGTGTGTGGGCTTATCATCTTTTACATGTTTTTGAATTGTCCTTATCCAGATAACCACCCTTATTCAACCATCCCTTGTTTCTTTTAACCATTGCATAAAACTGATTTTGGGACTAATCCAAACGTTTTTTTATTATCAATTTGTCCCTTTATTTCTTTTTTTTACAGAAACACCAGACAGTGTGTCTGTTCATCAAGTGGATCAAAAAGGCCCAATAGTGTCGGGCCAATTATATTATTTGCAGTGTGACGTTGAAAATGTTGCACCAATGAGACACCTCTCTGTGTACTGGTACCAAGGAAATCAGTTAGTTGAAAAACATAAAGTTGGCGATCCAGATCCAATTCCAGCCAGCAAGTCATTTACCCAAGGGATGCGTGCCCATTCTGATGATAATGGGACTAAGATCTGGTGTGAAGCACAGCTGAACTTTCCGGGAGTACCAAACGCTTACACAGTCCGATCAGAGCCACATGAATTGATTGTCCTGTGTAAGTTTTTTATTCTATAATCTTTATTTAACCATCACAGTTGTTGGGTTACCTTTAGATTATTGGGTGTGTTAACCATTCTATTTTAATTTTCTCCTCTGTTTTTTTCTCTGTCTGTCTGTATTTAAATTTCATGTAAATCCTCAGACCCACCCTTTTTCATGGATCCTGCAAATGAGACGCACGAAATTCGAGCTGATAGCAAAACAACATTAAATTGCACTGCGACAGGAAACCCTTCACCCAGTTACAGCTGGCATTTCCCTGACAACACACAGATGAACTGGAGTCAACATAAGCATCCAGCCTTTTTGACTCCGGACAATGATGTTCCAGGGACTTATAAATGCACTGCTTCTAATACCCAGGGCACCACGAGCAAATATTTCACTGTCATCAAGGCTAAAGGTAAGAAAACTAAAGCCTTTTTATTTCTCATAATGTTCCTCTTTATTAGAAGTCATTCTGTGATTCATCATGCTGTCGTTTTCCATCAGGTAGTCACCCCGGGACCACTGCTGGGATTTTAATGGCTATGTTTTTTGTTTTAGTCTTTATTTTGGGATGTGTCGTTTATCACAAGCAGAGAAACTCTTCTGTTGCAAGACCAGAACAGATGAGCTGAGAGTGAGAATTTAACAAAAAACTCCCTCCTCCCACAGGGAATCGCACAACCTTTGCAGCCTTGGTTGGAGGATTTGTGTCCCTGGGAGCCCTGCTATTTGTCGGCGGACTCTTTTTCATGACACCTGAAGGCACATTTGCTTTCAACAAAGGCAGCTATCTCAAAGGACAACCTACCTCATCCGGACCTGTATGAGACTGATTTTTTTTTAAATTCCACTTTGCATGGCATAGCAGTGGCAATGGCACTTACTAATTATTTTATTTTGCGTATAGAGACGCAAGAAAGATTTCCTGCCTTTTAAATGCTCAGGGGCTTGGTACTTTCTGCATGCTCAGTTGGTGGGCTTGGTTGGCCTTAAAGTTGTGCTTGGTCACTGTAGCTTTAAGAATACTTCATCTCTTATGCTCTTTTTGAAACTCCACTTAAAAATATTATCATAGCAACAAATAATACCTTTACATGTGTTTGAAGAGTTTTTTTCTCTTAAACACAGTAAACAGTTAATCTGCCTGTAACCGTGTTGGGTGCATGTAAACACTTTGACTGCAGTGAATTACTGTTGAACCAATGAACTTGTAAGTCTGGGGTGCTATGGAGCTTTTTGGAGCTGTTTTTTTATTTTTTGTTTTATTTTATGGCCTGTGTGTTTCTATACAATGTTTTAAAGTATGAGTAACTCTGATCAAACTTGTATCCACACACATCAGGGATATGTTTCAATATACAAAAAAGTCCTGATAAACCCACTGTCCTACAGCAAAGTGACTTATAGGTGATGATATTTAAAAGAAGTTGGTATGAATCATAGAATATGGTGGACACATAAATTGAACACTTTATAGGGCCATAATAGGTTTGGACACTGGGTTTGTCAGCTGATATAGAGTTTGCCCCTTAGTGGCCAAAAGGTTAATACATGAGATATCAGAGATGGCGGCATACCTCTGGATAGAGGTCTATTTTTAAAAACTTGCTGACAAGTCATTGGACTTGTATAAATAGGTACAATCTAATGGTCCTCATTTTAAGAAATGTACTCAGGTACATTAGTTTGTATTTTTTGTGACAATCTTTCCAGAAACTGCAAAACATCTACAGTAAATACTTCTGAGCAATGGGGCACAACGTGGGTTCATAGTGTGACTTTTTGTATTTGTATTCACTTTTTGGTGTATGCAAATACTTCCCTCATTTTATGTTCTGTAAAATGATTTTATCAAATGATTTTTTTCATATATTTTTATACGCACAAGTTTAACTCTTGAATGTTAGAATATTTTTGCACTGAAACACTAACCATGTTACTTCCAGGGCTGGCCAACAGATTCATATGATGAGACAATCAGTTGCTTTGTTGAATGGAGCTAAAAAATGAACCACTAGAGGATGTGTTAGACATGCATCTTGTCTAATGTACCAGTGAAAATATTTGAAAAGGCTGATCTTTGTAGTCCTTTGTTGGTGAATGTATGAAAATGTCTGTAAGATAAAATGACTTAAATGTGATGTGTTCATTAGCAGCTTGTTTATATACATCAGATGTTGAAGTAGGCCAGTTTCACTATCATCCTTAGGCAGAATACTGATTGAGCCAAAGTCAAACCAGAGTCTTTCATGACTGTTTTGTCTCACTGCCAACTTTTGTTACCCCCACCCCCTCTCTCTTTCTTCTTCACTTATTCAATGTGGCTTACATGATACACCACCGAGACCGCAATACTAATTAGTAGCCTACTGAACTAACTCAATGTAAAGGAGAACATTTGTTGTCTTGCCTACAGCTGCCAATTAAAACCTTTTATTTCTGAACCGGGTTCTTTCTGTTCAGTCTCAGTCATTCCTGTGAAATATTTCTGTTTGTGTATGATCTGAAAGGGTTGCTATAACAACCTGGCAAAGTTGATATTGCTCAATTTGTCATGATGTTTAAAAAAATATGCCTAATATAGTCACACAGGCTTAACATATTCCTCTTGAGGGCTTGAAGCAGGAGCAGAATGTTAAAAGTGAAGGAATCATGTGCTGTCATTTGAACAGGATTCTCTGCAGGGTTGTCTAGATATCCATCAGAAGCATCTGATTACATGTTCACTTGTCCAGCTGTGGTCAGAGTGGGTATGCTGTGTAGCATTCTGGTCACAGTGTGAGTCTAAAAAGCTACACGCTGCACAACGACAACACTCCTTCCTGCTGGGACTCACAAAGCATGAAGTCCAGAAGCAATAGGAGTCAAAGCAAAAGTAAAAGTAAAAAAAAACGGCTTTTGTTACCAGCAAGTCACGGTTTGACAGCAAGATGAGAAGTGTTAATATGAAACCTCAACATGACCACACCTCAGGCTGGAATGTAGAGAGCATAACATAGCATCAAACTTTTACCTTTTTATATGTAGCTTTAATCAGATTTATGTCTGTATCTAAGGTGATTTACGTGGGTCAAAGGTCATTCTATCAGATGTTTGGGCAACATAAGTTTTTAGCTGAACTTTTTCATGGTGGCTACAAGCCTATTTCAAATGTACTGTAGATAAAGGCCTACTGATAAAACGTAAACAGTAAAAATGTGTCATCCATGTTTTGTCCCCAAAACATATATTTGACTATACATTTAAAATGTACAAATCTCATCTGAGTCTCTCTATTATTCTCACAGTTGAGTTGTTTCATTGTGTACATTTTGTGCTCGTGGTACATTTAAAGTCCTGTGATTTCCTACCAAAATGTGTCTAAGTTCAATGCAGTGCAAAAGGAATAGGCTGTGTTTTTCGCAGGCCTGACACCTGTTAAATTTCCCTCTTTCCCTTCTACCCCCCACCCCCAAAGTCAGCTGGGATTGAAGGGGGCCCTTTTGTTCCAACATAGTTCCCTGCAGAGTTGCCAAGTTTGTCCAAGTTGGATTTTTCTTTCCCTCGCGGCTTTATCGACGGATCAGTGCAGAAAGTAACATGGGGACCACATTTCTCTCATGGATTCTGACCTTTTGCATGTTTTACTCAGGTAAGGATTTGCAGTACACTGTTTTTTTTCAGGCACTTTTTTGCGATAGTTGATGGCATTTATTGCAGTGTTCGTGATGGGAAAAACGGTAATGTCGAGATTAATGAAAACGTAGAGTCAGTTCGTGATATTTGGTCGGTGAAAATAGACATACAAATACGCATAGGTTTTTGATGCAGTCGTAGGAAAGAGTAGGCCTAGCTTTAACCGCAAATGTATTGTGTCTAACACAACTAGAGCAGAGAATAGAAGCTTTACATTACAGTCCTCGCAGAATACACGCTGTAGCTCACTTAGTAGGTTGTTCTTTACGTTTTCTACACAAATAAGCACCAAGTAGGCCTAGACATTCTAACGGACTTCCAGTTAAACTTTGTACTGTTTTATAGAGATTAAGCCAGCCTGGGACGATTTTCATGTTCTGCTGCTTTAACAAAACAACAACAACATTATTAGCAAGACTGCCAAAAAGTGTTATTGAACACAGAAATGTTAACCTTTGCCTGATAACTTTACTTTGTGTTGTAACTGGGTTACATAATAGGTACTGCCTGCTTAATGCATTTAAGTGCTACAAGTGGACAGAAGGGGGTAGTGATGACATTACATTGATGAAGACTTTGGCTGTATGTCTCAGTGTCAGGTGAAGGTTGTTCCCTAATCCTCAAGCCCTCCAGGGTGGTGGTGGGCTTTGGGGAGCCGGTGTCAGTCACCTGCGAGGCCGCCCGCCCCGTCCGTGTCCTTGGATGGGAATCGGCCATCAGTGCTGCACACACTCAGCAGGAGTTGTCTGTCCAGTGGAAGGTGGACAGTCTCATCGATTGGATAGAGGAGCCCATCTGTTATGGAGTGTTTTTCACAGCCCCGAGACAGTGTGAGGAGAAACTCAACCTTGTCCTCTACAGTGAGTCCTGTTTTAGTTTAGACAATGGATGACCGAGAGAAAGCTGTATGAGTGAACTGAGCTTTGTGTCTTCTTCCTTTAGAAACCCCAGACAGTGTCTCCATCAGGCCTGTGAACCTCACTGGCCCCATGGTGGAAGGAAAAGAATACCAGCTGCTCTGCGAGGTTCAAAACATCGCTCCAGTTCAGTATCTCACCCTGAGGTGGTACAAAGGGCAGACTGAGGTTTACAACCACTCCTTCTCTGACCTCACATCCACCTCGCCTGTCCAAGTCTCCTCTATCCTCTTGGTCACACCGACCAAGGCTGAGAATGGAGCACAGTACCGTTGTGTGGCAGAGTTGGAGCTCGGACCAGAGGGACCAAAACCCCCTCCTACTGTGACCTCAGAGCCTTTAAATGCCTCTGTGTACTGTAAGTCATTTAATCAGTCCTTCAGTAGAGCTCTCATATATTTAATATGATACAGGTATATCTAATTCTTTTAGTCTTTTTCCTAGTTCCCCCAGCGTTTCTCAATCCTGAACCAGAAGTTTTGGACCTTATAGAGGGCGTTGAAATAACATTAAACTGCACTGCCACCGGAAACCCTGCGCCTGTGTATAGCTGGCAGTCCTCACATCCCATACCAGAGAGGATGGAGGATGAAGCAGCTCTTACCTCCTCCTCCTTGATCCCAGGGACGTACACCTGCACTGCCTCCAACACACTGGAAAAGAGGAGCAAGCAGTTCATTATCAAGGCCGCGACCAAAGGTAGAAGGGACCTAGGAAGGGCAAATGTACCAGTCATCTATTCACAGTACATCCTAATCAGCATCCTCTTTTGCTTTTCCATAGGTGCTTGAAACAGGACGTTGGGATGGGACAAGATGACCACGTTGGATATACAGTTCAACCAAGGAGACTTTGAAAATGCATTTATGACTCAACCAATATTTATAAAGCGATAGAGAGCATATTTAAGAAAGCATCAGGCAGAAGTAACTCTCTTTAAAAGAAAAGATCTTAATACTTTGTGTGATAACAGTCAATTAATTTGTCTGTATTTTCTCTTGAATGTGGTCTACGAGAGTGATCAGAGTCGGAGGATGTTCACTTCTTATGCTCTCAGTGTGATATCCTGTATCTATTTTATATTTTTTTGCTTGGCTAACTATTGTATTAACAAAATGATCTTGTGACTTTGCGAATATGTAGCTACTTTACATAGCATTTCTTGCTAACACGTTAATTTAATACTGCAAATGTAATACCAAATGTTAAAGATCAACAGGCTATTACTGTAAATATGAATATTTACCTATCTTTATGAATAAAGTTAAAATCAACAGTATTTGTTTTGTACTTACATACTTTATGCCTATGCTAACCCTAACTATAGTACAGCTTTGTATAGCTGCTGTGTGTGACTGCTAAACTTAGTTTATTTGATAAAGGGCATAAACCAAAAGCATTGCAGGGAAATGTTATATTTTGGTTTCACATTAAAGCAGAACAGTTCTCATGTTGCGTATATTGGGGCTTTAGGATAAAATCTCCTTTACAAGCCCTATGAATAGTTTTATAATAAATATAATGTGACATATAAATAATAAAATGCAAGGATATATGATATGATGTGACATATAAGATCATATAATATATGTTTCAAACAGTTTAAAGTCATTTGAAGTGGAATTTGTCTGTCTACAGTCTATGGTTTTCACACACTGTAGAAGATGGCACACTGACGTGCGGCCACCAGATGTCGCTGTTACACTTTTTTTCTTCCGCGATCATATGATTCGCTGACAGGACGTCACGTGACCACAACATTGCCTGGCGCCTTGTATTCACTAACAGGAAGTAGCATTTGGCAGCTAACATGAATGAATGACGTTACTTGGACTTTCCCAGCTTTCCTGACAGATAAATGAGAAGACCTATCCATTTTCAGGTACTCTGTGATTCAGTGCCTGATATTTGTTTCCCAAATACGAGTGAAACATTTTAGACAAGTGTTCCTCTGTTTTCCCCTTCAGGTATGCCACAGAAAGATCCATGTCAGAAGCAAGCATGTGCAATTCAAACGTGTTTACAAGGTACAAAAAAACACCCTTGAGTGCCGTTATAAGTTATTAAATGGAATCTGACACAGGCATTTCTCTAATTCGCTTCTCTTTGTGCAGCTAACAAATACGTGGAGAGCATGTGTGAGGATGTAATCAGGGAGATGCGGCGGTGCTGCGAGACACATGCTGCAAACTCCATCTGCTGCTCCGGATTCAGGGAGTCAAAACCCCCGGAGAACAAGAGTAACACATAGCTCCGTGTGAAGATAGCACAATAAAGAACTGTGTGTCAATGTTTGAAACACTGTGGTGCAGCTAGCTAATGAGCCAGTGCAGTGAACTCTTTTCTTATCTCAATGTATAGAAAGTTTGAATTCGACTTCGTCATAGCAGTTGTTCTGGCATGAGACACAATAGTACCATCACACCTACATGTATGAAGTACATCTACCAATTTATAAGATCAACATACCCTAAGTAAGGGCTAATCCACCCTATAGGCTATTGGATATATCTTCACAGTATGTCCTGAACAAATTTGACCTGAGCCAGGAATAACCTCACAACAAGTGTCTGTTCTTACTTAATGTTTCGGAGAAGAGGGAGAGAATTCTTTTGTTTTATTTCACACCATTTTTTGGGGGGAGATAAACACCCACTGAGACATCATGTATTATTTTAAGTAGACATGAAAATGTAACAGCCATGAAGATTTCAATATATTCACCGTGAAAATGGAAATAGCTTTCTGGAACTGTTTGGGTTTATTAAATAATCCTGTGCAACTGTGAAACACTGTCCTCTCTGCTATCATCAACAGAATCCTTATAAATACCATCCATGATAATTAAGTATGAATTCAACAATAATCAACACTGAGTACACAAGACATAAAAAGCTGCTTATTGAAAAATAGTAGAAAGAGGAGCTGTAATCAGAGTTAATTTCCCTCCTTCAAATCACTATTACACTATTCACTACTATATTTCTTTTCTCATGAAAGATCAGAGAAATGGTCCTATACAGTAAGTCTTGCTGCCATAATATCAGTCAGTTGAATGTCAGATCAGGTACCTTTATAATCTTATCCCCCACGTTTGATCTGTGTTTTGACCTCAGTTAGCTCAGAATAAATTGATTCTGATTTGGTTATTGTATGATTATTTTGTTACACTGCAGGCGCTTTTACTTGAAGGTGCAGATCTTGCTAAAGTGTCAAGGCATCCTCTGACCTCTGTCCCTGAGATCGTCATTCTTATGTCAGTGTTTCAAAATTCCCCCATGACTCATCAAAGGCCAACAGGTGCCTTTCTCTGAAGGAACCTGGGCACACGTGGTGGGAACGCAGGCAGTCCTAAAAATAAACAAACAAATATACAAAAAATACACATAGCATGTAGTGTTTCACTGTATGAAGATTCCTTTAAATCTGTTTTATTTAATCCAGGTCGAATATGAGCCAGAACGTTTTTACATTTCAAAATGTTTTATTTTGTGTATATTGGGTCATTGTTGTCAAAGTTAGAAATGAAAGACTAAAACAATGACATTAAGGTTTTCTTTAATGCTGTCAAACATCAAAACGGGTTTCATTTGACCTGAACAGTATGTCAGTATAATGTTATTAAAACTGTGTTTAAGAAGTAAAATTGTCACATCCCATGTGGGTTGCAAATGAATGTTGAAAACTACAATGTATAGGCTGTGAAAAAGACGATTTATTAAAGGGAGATTCTTTCAAATGTAAATGTTCCTTTCCTTTTACATCATTGAGTCCACACCCTGTTATCAAGTATGTGGCACATGTTGGTGCATGTCAGCAGTGAGCTATACTGAAACGGTTATACTTCTGTGCATAAAAGCCCCGCACAACCACGGTGAACACACAGCTGATTTTCTTTTTGGGCTTAGAGGCATAGGATTCTTAGGACTCCAACTGTGTGGGTTTGTAGTTATTAAACTTGTGTTTCTGCTGTTTCTGAAGGCTTCTCCCTTTTCCGAGCTTAGAAGCTAAGCAGGGTTCATCATTATAATAAACACCTGGTGTGTGTTCACTTCACATGAAAAACATGTTTGACGCCTCAGCAGTGTATACTCATCCAGACACTTAGAATCCCTGTCAGAAGAAAAGTTTCCTTTAAGATCCTCCATAGCTTCTCGTATTTACCAACATATTTGATGTTTGCAAGTTATAGTTTGACTGAGACAGTCAAAAGTTACAGATGCCCCAAACTGCAACAATTATCTAGATTTTCCCCAACAGATAATTATGAAAAGCTTGCGTCAGGCAATGTGTAAACTGTGTGGTCATAGTTGGGCATTTGTGGATTTCACTGAGATTACCTTCGAACATGACAAATAAACATGAAAATATTTGTTTAAACAGAGCTTTTCAAAATAGTATGTGGAGAAAATGCTATGTCCGGGTTTGTGGTATTTGTTCTGAAATAAACAAATAAATCAGCCCTATGCAGATAAGTTCTCTGTTACTTCTTATAAGCCTAAAAGAAATGATCTACTAAACTGATGCATGAACAATACATTGTGTGAGTCGTAGGGATGTAAAGATTAATTGTAAAATCGTGATAAAGATAAAGTGTCAAGATCATATTGGTACTCTGAAACATGTATTGGAATAATATGGTGAGCGTCAGCAGCTGTAGAGCAGAGGCGGTTGGCAGCTGCAGAGCAAGTTTTTGAAATTGAGGAACTACCACCTTAATTTAAATCAGAGGTGTGGAAGCATTTTGGCTTCCCGAAGACAGAAAATGAAAGAGGTGAGAAGATAACTGACAAGACAAAAACTGTGTGCAAATATTGCAAGAAGACAGGGAACCAAGCAAATAGAACAACCAGCATGATACAACATTTAATCAATACCACAACGAGAAACTTCAATCACCTCACCTTGTTGAGAGAAAAAAAACATTAAAAGGCCAAACCACACTGACAAGTGGGTTTGCAGTCATAATTTGTCTACAGTCTCATTTTAATAATAAATCGTGAGAGAATCGTATCGTGAATTGAGTGAATCGTTACATAGTTAGTCGTAATAAAATGGGATGTATTGAGCAACCTTTTCAACATCCACAAATCGATAGACATAAGAATGAGGCGAAGTTGACTTTATTTTTCTGGAACATTTGACATACTGTACCATATGACGATGTATACAAAGCATTTCACATCACTGACTTGCATGAATGGGCAGAAAATACTCACGGTATAGAGTTTATGCTATTTTAAGTATTGGAACCTTGAATGATTCAAGGGCAAATATCTTATGAGGAAATTCCTTTTCACATATAAAGACAACAAGATATTTGACTCATATCTGTATTTATGGATAGCTGAAAAATGGAATTTGCAAATGAATCTTGCCAATCAGGTCATTCTCTGCATAAAGAGTAAACAAGAGATTAGACTAACCAGAGGAAATGTTCACAATATATCCTAACAGTGTACTAGATGAAAAAAAATAAAAAATAAACCTACATAATGAATTAAATGGATAAATATAATAAATGATAATAAAATGAAAATGTTTAACTGTATTTGTATTACTGCATTGCTAGTTTTTTCCTACCGTTATGTGTTTTTTTTTTCAATGAGAAATTATTAACAGTAAGGTAGATACTCATTTTCCTCCAATCCGTTGCCGTTCGTCTAGGTGACGTAATGACGTACTAACGTCAAACGGAAATTGCAGCAGCAATTCTTCTAGAATTTTGTATCAGTTTGTGGCTAGCCCGCGCTGGGTGTGTATGTTTCAATTGTTTTTGCCTGAGCCGAAAACAGCTGAATTGAACGCAAGTACACATTTCTGAAGAGTACTACGTTCTTATGGTCTATGTTGTATGATTAAGGAGCCGGTTAGCTTCGTTTAGCCCACTAACTTAGCCGAGTCATTTTCCAAGCTAACGCTACTTGCGTAGTTGGGTTGTTGCTGGCACAATGTCCAGGATAGACTACAGTGTTTGGGACCACATTGAAGTGTCTGACGATGAAGACGATACCCACCCAAACATCGACACACCCAGCCTCTTCAGATGGAGACACCAGGTACAGATTTCAAAACAGTGGTGGATTTTTATCTTGTTAGCGTTACACATGTCATCTAGTGCTGTGTACAGTTTGAATTTAGTTATTAGCCCCTGATAGGAGCAGGCCACTCCTATAGTAGTCACAATATAGTAATAATGTGTCAACCTAATTCTATTATGAATCTTGCTTGTCAATCTAAGAACTAAAAAATGGTAATGACGCATGCTTGCAGGACTATGGCGGATGCATTACCATGGTGTATTTGCTTGTGACTTGTGTTTTAATATGTGTACTTCAGGCACGCGTGGACCGGATGGAAGAATTTCAGAAAAAAGGTGAAGATATGAACAAGTCCCTCCGAGAATCCCGGCGTAAACTGGCAGAGGCACAGAAGAAGGTGCAAGAGCTGACTATCTCAACGACGGATGATGCCAAGGCAGAGCTGGCCAAAGCCCAGGCTGAGGAGAAAAAACTGAGAAAGGAGGAGAGGGAGTTGGAGAAGAAGATGGACGAATTCAACAGGGAAGAGAAGAAGATGCCATGGAATGTGGACACACTCAGCAAGGAAGGGTTCAGCAAGGTGAGGCGGATACAGGAGTCAGCTAGACTAACAATGTTTTCTGGACCCACATTCAGGTTGACTCTTTGTTTATAGGATCAATAAGTTCACCCTGGTAACAAGTATCTTCAAATCATTGTCTCTGATTGGAAGGTGCTTGTGGCTATTGGGCTCTGGGGATATCATTAGTCGGTATTGTGAGAGCTGTTTCTTACATTAAGTGATGTGCCATGATGGTAGTGCTCCTAAATATTTTATGGTACTGCTGTGTGTTTTGTTTTCTATGTCAAATTTGTGGTGAAAAGGGATGCCAAAAACAGTTGTGGTTACTGCGAAAGCACACCCAGACCCAGTAACTTAAATTTCAACCTTGATTTGTTTCTTTGCATCCATATTGATTATTCTCAAAATGTTAAAATGACTTGATCTCAAATCTTGGCTCTTCATTTTGTATCTTGATTGTTTTTGTGAGATATTTTCATGTCCTTTACGGGGGAATTTGTTGTTACATGTTGTAATTCTCTGCCACTGTCGATCCTTTTCAGAGCATTGTTAACATAAATCCTGAAACTGCTGATGAGACGGAAGAACAGAAGGAGCAAAAGCATAAAACCTTTGTGGAGAAAAATGAGAAGCAGATCAAACACTTTGGTGAGGATTACTGACATGTATTCCCCATTGTTATTCAATTCCTGTTATTAATGCTGTTTGATCGTCTGTGTTTGTCCTTAACTGCTGTCTGTGCTGCAGGTATGATGCGACGTTGGGATGACAGCCAGAAGTACCTCTCTGACAACCCTCATCTAGTATGTGAAGAGACCGCAAACTACCTGGTCATCATGTGCATTGACCTCGAGGTTGAGGAGGTAAATACTGCAGAATAGAATGGATTCTACATGTTGCTCTAAGCAGTCATATATCATGCAATATAAGTATTTTTAAATTGAAATCAATAAAAGTTACTGTTATGGGATATCATATTAGAATCGTCTTCATTTACCACAGCTGGTTTTCTTTACAAAGCCATTGTGTTCTTCATAATATTTACAATATTCTAAAAATGCTTCCCCATTTTTTTATAGAAACGCGCATTGATGGAGCAGGTGGCTCATCAGACCATCGTCATGCAGTTCATTCTGGAGTTGGCAAAAAGCCTCAAGGTGGATCCCAGAGGCTGCTTTCGACAATTT